TCAAGCACTCTATATCTTAATCAAGTTGGCTATGTTGATGTCTTAGACTCTCTAGGATTAATGTCTACAAGTCTCTAGTTTAATAACGACCTACTGGGAGACCACAGGGTTTGGCTAATGAATTACTAAGCTTATGCTACCTCGTTTAAGCACATACCAATTTGCAACTAGCAAAACGCAGCCACATTTGTCTAATCAAAAATCAGATTGAAGAGATTATGGACATTTGTTGGTAGAATACTACACTATATGATCTTAATCAAGTTGGCTATGTTGATGTCTAGAAAAGCATAGACTCTCTAGGATTAATGTCTACAAGTCTCTAGTTTAATAGGTTGTAGTTGAAGTTTGTGGCCAGGTTAAAACAAGAAGAAAGTCTTTGGCTAATGCAGAGATAAACTGTATGTGTAAGTTGGTGGATTGAGTCTATGAATAGGCAAAGCTGGTGGGTACGTGTATGAAAGAAAGAAGCATCCCGTGTACACAAGCCCTTGACGTACAAAATTTTATCGAATTTCTAGTGGTCCTTCTTTGTGAAATTCCGAAATCCGACCCACTTGGGATTTATGAAATGGATGATTTTATGGACGTGCTTGTAGTTAGATCTTGCCCGGAACTGATCACTCCTAGGAAACTAACCGATAGGGAATGGCTAATTAGGGATTTAAATTCGCGCGACCAAATAAACTCGATCGTGAATCGACTTTCGACCATAAAAATTGTCGAGGTGACATTTTGAGCCAATGTAGGCCGATCCAAGGATAGTTAGGGATCAATTCGCCGCTGTCATATCAGTGGATCGCGGGTGATTCCGCTTGACCACGAGATGAATTGACGAATGACCCCAAACCTATACCAATCGATCGTGCCGTCGGAACTAGCGATCGATCCTCACAATTAAGTGACAACCGAGGTCGTCACGACCTGAGCAAACTTAAACGTGGCATGATTCAGTATCGGCCACGGGTCAAATGTGCGAATTTCCCCAAAAGCCACCCGTTAGTTCGAGATACGCTCAAGTTACGTAAATTAAATTTGATCCTTAATTAGAAACCAAGTTTGGGCATCGGAAATTGTGAAGGTCATGACAGGATAATCGGACGATGTTGTCATTAGCTCGGTTAGCCTCTTAGTTGTCCGGATTCTTCAGAAAAAAAGAATTTCGGCGAGAAATGGAAAATGACCGTTTTACCCCTGGGATTTTATTAAGGCCAAGTATAATGGGAGAGGGGCCATTTGGTCATTTCACACCTACTGTAGAAATAAAAAAATTTGGACAATTTTGCCCTTGAAAATTTTGTGAAATTCCAATTTTGCCCCTGGATATTTTTGGCGAGGATTAATCTGGACCGTTGATCTTAGGATAAGATCGAATCGTGGCCGTTGATTTGGAATATAGAGAGAGGGGCATGATGGTCATTTGCTTGGAGATTAGACACCAATTATTGCCTCTTTAGTATATATCTCTGATTTTCTCTCTCTCCCCCTCATTCTCTCTCTTATTCACGCCAATCTCTCTCTCACCCCTCCCTCGGCCAAGCCTTCCTCCCCCACCGTGAAGTGGCCAGCCGGCCACCCCCTTCGGCGCCGCTTCCTCGCCGAGCCGGAGCCACCGCCGCCGCCGTGGCCGCTCACCATCACCACCACCACCGCCTCACGTCTCTCTCTCTCTCTCTCCTGTTTGTGCCCCACCGAAACACCACCAGCCCCATCTCAACCCTTGTTCAGCTGGGAAAACCAGCAGCCAATCGCCGCCGGCAACCCTCACCGATTGTTGCCGCTGCCGCTTCTGTTCGCTCCCTGTCCAGCCGCTGTTGAGGCCTCAATTTCGCGTATGAATCACAAGTAAGTGATATCCTAACCCTCGCCTAGGATAACGGGCATTTTCGGGTTAGTTCGGGGCCGTTTTAGTGAGTTTTAGGGGTTAATCGTGGGACAACGGTGGGACTGATTTGGCTGAGTGTTTTGGGAGAAATTGTGATGATTTTTTAGGTGGATTTGAGGTTAGAATTGATTGGTTAGGTAATCGGAATGATTCCGAGTGATTATTGTGGCTTATTGCGCGAAAAACGGGCCTAAATGCGCCGTTATAGTGATTTTCCATGGTGGCCGAGTTACTGTTCATGCTGTGGCCGAATTAGTGCATTTTGGTGATTAAAATATAGTGCGTGTTGGTTTTGGGGTTGTCGGTAGGAGTACGACACCCGTGAATGGCGGAATTTTGCCTAAAATGCAGAAATTCGGGTTAATTGTGCACGTGCGAATTGAATTGGGTTGGCTGGTTTGTGTGGCTATTATGGCTTGAAATACACATGAAAATGTTGAATTTGTGCCCATGTTAGTGGCTCTGATTGTGAGCCCAATGGCGGCCTTGTATGCTTGTTGAATTGTGAATTGATTGATTGAAATGTGGACCGTTATATGCGCGCATGGACTGAATTGAATTGACTGGCAATTGGCCATGATTGGGTGTTAATTGAGCATGTGAAATGCATGAGGTTTGATGCGTGCATGGGCCGAATTTGATCGGCTGGTATATTGGCATGCTGGCGTGTAAATCGAGCGAGCGAATAAATGATAAATTGTGTGTGATGTTGTATGAGTGGTCACGAAAATCCCTGAGGCGGTACTATTACGCGGGGAATTGAGCCGTCTTGAGGCTGTACTACTACGCGGGTTGATGCCCGGTACTACCGGAAGACTGCCAACCTGAGGCGTGTACTTCAACGCGGGTTGTGCAGTAGGTGGTGGATGTTGAGCCTGAGGCGGTACCATTACGCGAGGCGGCTAAGGAGTGTTGTGAATATGAGTTGGTCGCAGTGAACCTGAGGCGGTACTATTACGGAGGTCACTGGCGAGTTGAGTGAAAATAGTGTGATGAGGCAGGATCGAGTGTTGGAATGTGGGATTGGAAATGCCATGTGTTCGACTTGTGTATCGGGCATGAAATTAATTTGAAATGTCAATGTGATTGGAAATTATATAGTTGAGACTAACCTGCAGATTGCGCGGATCAAAAGCCCATGTAAGTACAATTGGATGCATGATGTGTTTATTGGGTGATCTCATGTTTGGTCTTGTCTGGAGGTACGTGTTAGCCTAGGTGGGGTTTAGGGTTTCGCTTGCTGAGAAGTGTTCTCACGGTTTTATTTAAAACCATTTAGCTGATCGAAGTTCCAGCGGAGTCGGGAGACAAGGACAATCCGATTGAGATCAATACTGAATCCAAGTCTTGAGAGGAACAGACTGGCATCGACGAGACTGATGCTGAGTGAACCCCCCCTTTAGGGCAAATAGGGGTTAGTTAGAAGTTAGGGGTTGGACAGTCTTTGGAGACGCCCCTTTTGGTGGTAGTATTAGTCTGCCCCTTTTGGCAAAATCTTGACATGAGCTCAAAACCCTCCGAGCCTCATGGAAAATCATGAAAGATCACTTTCAGCTTCCCATTAACTACTCCTGATTTTTGACCAAACATTCTGTTAAGCCTACTTGAAAACGATGCCATAATATTCTGCACAAGAAACAGAAAACAAAGAGAGGGTTAACAAATAGGGAAACGAAAGGAAAGAAAAATGCTATAGTGAATTCAGGATGGTTTTAATCTTCAAAACCATTACAGGGATTACCTGAAAATCTTCAAAAAGTACGACAGGCTTCTCAATTTAGGAGAGACATTCTCTTTTTCAAGAAACAGAAATTCATCGATTAAGCAGAAGTCCATTTCATCAGCTGAGTGATTTCACAGTTCAAGAAAGCCAAAGCCAATTACCAATAGTAAAAAACTATAACAAGAAGCACCATCACAAGAATTTGAACTGAAGCAGGTGATAAAGATAGAAAGGTGATGAACTGAAAATTGAGAGAGAAATCAGAGCAAGTAATTACCTTGTCCACCAGGAAAGTCTCAAGGCCATTGACATCTACTTCAAGAATGCAGCACATTTCCATTGCTGGAGAAAAAGACTGTAAATGTAAAACCCATCTAGAGACAAAACTTTACCGATTCATGAAAAAAGTTCTGCATATGAAAAAGCTAGAACTTTTGGGATCTTTCCCACGAGGGAATTAAGTGAAGAGTTGGACTAAGTACTCGATATGGGACGGTCAGTGCGAACTGAGAAAGAGGCCAGAGAATCTGATTTCTATGCTTGGTCGAAATACCTTTCTGACAATTATGGGTTATAACATATAATAGACAATGGAGGGAACAAGAATCAAGGTAATGTGTGTGTGTGTGTGTGTGTGTTTTATTTATAGGAATGCATGATCTCTCTTACTTGAGGTGGCTTCTGGTCTCATCCACCCTCAAAATACCTGTTTATCAAACCGTTACAATGGTTTGCAACAGTTAACCCTATTACGAGTATTTACAGTATCACGTGTTTGCGATAGTGTTGACTTTAGCTATCAGACTTAAATTCCGAACAAAAGACGTGCATTGTAAACATGAAGGGAAGTGCAGCCACTTTAGGTTTTTGTGCTCTGGATTTCGATTTCGTGCTAGAAGCCATAAGTTGGGGACAAAGCCCTCAAAACACATTCATAAATTTTCATTTCTGAGAAAGAGGAAATTACAGATATGACCTAAGTTTAGTCAAGTCAAATGGTCTATCATCTGATTTTAAGTTGAATATGTTGGATTCTTTCAAATCAATTCGAGCTTTGCGGAGGTTGATTTGATATACATTTACTTCAATCAAACGTGACTCCGTAAATCAATCGCAGCTTAACTCTATAGTTTTGACTGCGCCAATATGTCAATACAACATCAAATCCAAATCTACTGAGTTGATAAAGCATCTTCCAGCAACTGAGACCTGATGACAAACTTTCTAGTCAAGAACCCAGAATCAAAATTTCAGACCAAGGAGTGCTTTACGGTTTTGAAGGTCAAATAGTTTGACACAATTTAACCTTTTTGCCGTTTCTAATGCCGCCCGTGAATGCACTGGCATTTGATTCTGAGGCTGCTTGTTTTTTTTTAAGGTATTTGGCCGATATTCCGGGTGAAACACAAACGTAATTATTGCTTTGCCTAGGATACAATTTGCCTATAGCCCTCAATCTTTGGACCTGCAGCAGCTAGTCTAGCTTACACAGCCGCTATGTGATTAGACTTGCGCTAATATCTCAGTCGTGAGCGAGAGGCTTGATCACAATAGATAGAATTTGCTGCCGAATGTCGCCGTGCTGGACGCCGAACCCATCTCCAAACTGGTAAAGCATATGCGCAACACGAGCAGCGTTCACGGTGACATTGATGAAGGGTCGGAGAAATGGCGTCTCGGCATTGCCGAAGCAACGAGCATTAATTCTTTTCCATGCTTGGTTTATCAATACCTTGATGTGTTTACGAGCAACGTCCTCTGATACATTTGCTTCTCGCATGTAACACACCACTGAGGATGGAGCATCTCCTCTGTCTCTTTCAGCCTAATCAAATAGATAAATCAGTTAACTCGTTAATCATATTCAATTTCCTAAATTTAGTTACTCCTTACATCGTGTAAGTACAAAAGCTAAGCATTTGTCCATCATGTCATATTCAATTGGTTTATAACATTTCCACAGAAGTTTGATAATTACCGTTGATGTTCCTAGGTCGTTGCAAAGTCGAATTATCATGGACACATTGTAAATCAGATCCTTGTTTCTCTGTAGCAAATCTGCTGCATCGTCCAATTTCATATGTCCCGTGAAGTAACAAGCATGAGACAAGATCAGTGGTCCAGAAGATGATGTCCATGCATTGTTTAAGTACTCTTCCAAAGATGGAGTGTAGCCCATATTGTCCCACTTTGCTTCATTAAGTAACGCTCTGCAAAAATCTTCCCACTATGGAAAAATAAGGAAAAAAGAAGATTTAATCGTAGATGATTAATTATGCAGGACATAACATAGTTAGGGTGACATATGCATGGATATCCAGTTATCCAACAGTTTTTTCTTACAGCTTTCGTGAGATGTGGTAGCACTCGATGCCAATCTTCATCCTTGCCAATATCATAAGCGATGTCGTATGTAACATCGCGAAGCGCTCGGAAACAGACCTTCATGCAATCGGGAAGCTGTTGAATCTGCTCTGAATCCCATCTAGAAGCATTGGACTTTCCAATTAGAGAAAATGAGCTGAACAAACACGAAAGGTAGAGATTGGGAGGCATGGTGGCCAACCTCGTAATGGCACCGGTGAAGCATTCTAGCTCCTCCAACGAACCATATAGGTCATAGATATCGCCGATCACTAGTATCAAGATGATGACCTTGGTAAGAGATTTTCGGAGAGAGCTGAACCGTGATCCCTGAGAGAGTCCAAGGGCACACAAGAAACTTTCGACCAGCCGATCCCTCGCGAAGTTAACATGTTCGATAAGTCCCAGATCCCTCCACCACCTGAATTTACCGAAGCAACTAATCAAAATCCAAAGCTATGAAAATCACATCATGTCCGGTACACATAACTTCAAAGAAAGCAATTTCCTAGGATGAATTTAGACCATATACATCATGAGTAGTTTTTTTTTGGTTGAAATATCATCAGTAGTTTGAGCGTGATGAAATTACCTGGATATATCTCTAAGGTCTCTTTGGTGTGTGGCTTGGACCGTGTTGAAATTGAGTTTTGCAAGCTCAAGCAGATTACTTTGCTTGTCCTCCTGTTGCTCATACAAGCCAATTTGCCATTTGATGTCGAACCACCGGACCCTCCAGTGCATCGGAAGCTCCAAAGCATGGACGGCACGTTTCAAGAGCTGACCATCCAAACCGGAGACTCTCTCTCGGACATTCCCAGTTGAGAAGGCTTTCGCTTCATCCAAAATGTTTTCGCCTTCCAAAGCCAGATGTGAAGCCTCAAGAAGCTCTATCATATCTTCAACATCTTCGCAGTTGCTTCCGTTCAATGTGTTCCTTCCTTCCTTGAACATCCTTAATTCATCTCATTACAAAATGAAAGTCGAAGATTTACGGCCGGACAGAACCAACAATTATTGCTGATGGTACTAATTATACTCGATGTTAATAAATATTAGAAAGTACGACGACTGATGACTAAGAAGATGTTATTGGAAAACAGTGAATAATGGCATATGAACTTTGAGCGGATTGTATGCATTCAATTCGATAAAACCTCTCTGTGGACGAAACCTTCTTCACCGTCTAGTCCACAATTACACTTTCCTTTAGTGATCCTCTCTCTAGAAACAAGAAGGTTTTTCAGTAGAGCTAAGTCCCAATAGGTATGACTGCTAGGGAAGGAACCAACTTTTGTGGAGTAATCTTCAGTACCTATAGCATTATTCGTTGATTTATTTGGCTTGTGCTGTCATTTGTTAATAACATCTCAGACGAAGGAAATCACACACATCCATATTTACGAATTACCTTGTGAAACGACGTGGTCATGCTGTCTGAGGAGTCTAAACCGAAATGCACTGGCATAGAGCCGATCTTCCACGTTGAAAACGCCACCGTTGGTGGATGCAACGGTTTCAAGAGCTTCTTTTATTTCAGTGACAAAAAGGTTGGACAGCCCCAATTTTCTCATGCTGTCAATCAACTCTAACTTGAGGAGTGAATCGACTGCTTCTGATAACATTGGCTTTACTTCCTCCACGAGCCGTTCTACTCGTTCTTTAGTTCCTTCTTTCTACAGAATCGAGTCGAATTCGTAAGATCGAAATCTACCTCGAAAAGGCCTCAATTAATTCAACCTATAGAGCAATGCCAAGAGATTATACTACTTTATCCTTTATGAATTTATGGTAAAATATATTGCAAAGTCTTGATTGCTTCCAGAAGTAACAGCCAAAATAATGTGACTGTTATTATCGCGATTGACTTTGTTGTATTATCTGAAATGGTTGTTTCTTTAGCGAATTTATGGTAAAATCAAGTCTAGATGATGGCTATAAATCAAGTCTAGATGATGGCTGATATATGGGATAACCACACATATTAAGATCATGCATGTGATGGTACAAATAAATTTAGCAAAATACTACCTTGCTCGAATTAAAAAATAAATAAAATCAACGTGTGTCTCATGTGCAATACTTGAATAAAGGAGTACAACCAAAAAACCAACCGGTTCGATAATTAACGATCAAATTTGATGGAACTTATGAGCACGGGAGGTACAAATTTGAATCTTACGAGGTCGTTGTTGTTGTTAAGCGACTGGAGGAAATTGTATTTCCAAAGGTTAGGCCTATAATTCGCCGATCTTCTTTGATGCAACTTGTCTCCGACTTGCGGCGAATCCGCTTGGCTAGGCTGGAACTGGACTTGTTCTGTTTTGTACTCCATGACGAATGAGTGGAAGTTGAGAAGATTGGTGAGATAACGAATTTGTACGAGTTTAGTGATGGAATGAGTGTGAGTGTTGTTGAGCACAATGCTTCAATTTATACAGGCGAGTTCGAGTTGGAAGTGTTGTTGAGCACAAGAAGCCCCACATGTCAACCTTGTACTCGGTCGGTCTCATCTCCGACCACACACAGTAATCACGAATCACATGAGAACACGACACAACATAAGATAGCAATGCGCTTGCTTCGTATGGGACAGATGAGGTTACGAGTCGTGTTGGCACTGTCCATGCCTCACATGGGCCATTTAAGGTTATGAGTCAAATTAGCAAATATCCGCCCATGTTTCTCATGCCTTAGTCCAAACAAAACTAGATGAATCTATAAATGCCTGACTAGAAAAACGCAAGCCCCGTTCGTCGAACCAAAAAAATCAGATTTAAGAGATTATCTAGGAATAAAGTGGGTGCGCAAGGATTTTTGTTGGTAGAGTACTACACTCTATGATCTTAATCAAGTAGGGCATGCTATTGTTAGGATCGATTTTTTCTAGATAAGCATAGACTCCTCTAGGATTAATGTCTACAAGTCTCTAGTTTAATAGCTCGTACTTTATCGCGACCTCCCCGAACGGAGTGGACCACCTAGGGTTTGGCTAATGAATTACTAAGCTTACGCCTAACTCGGGTTCTTCCAAGCACGTACCAATTTGCAACTAGCAAAACGCAAGCCACATTTGTCTAACAAAAAATCAGATTTAAGAGATTATGGATATTTGTTGGTAGAATACTACACTCTATGATCTTAATCAAGTTGGCTATGTTGATGTCTAGAAAAGCATAGACTCTCTAGGATTAATGTCTACAAGTCTCTAGTTTAATAGGTCGTACTTTATCGCGACCTACCTGAACGGAGTGGACCACCTAGGGTTTGGCTAATGAATTACTAAGCTTATGCCTAACTCGGATTCTTCTAAGCACATACCAATTTGCAACTAGCAAAACGCAAGCCACATTTGTCTAACCAAAAATCAGATTGAAGAGATTATGGACATTTGTTGGTAGAATACTACACTATATGATCTTAATCAAGTTGGCTATGTTGATGTCTAGAAAAGCATAGACTCTCTAGGATTAATGTCTACAAGTCTCTAGTTTAATAGGTTGTAGTTGAAGTTTGTGGCCAGGTTAAAACAAGAACAAAGTCTTTGGCTAATGCAGAGATAAGCTGTATGTATAAGTTGGTGGATTGAGTCTATGAATAGGCAAAGCTGGTGGGTACGTGTATGAAAGAAAGAAGCATCCCGTGTACACAAGCCCTTGACGTACAAAATTTTATCGAATTTCTAGTGGTCCTTCTTTGTGACATTCTGAAATCCGCCCCACTTGGGATTTATGAAATGGATGATTTTATGGACGTGCTTGTAGTTAGATCTTGCCCGAAACTGATCACTCCTAGGAAACTAACCGATAGGGAATGGCTAATTAGGGATTTAAATTCGCGCGAGCAAATGAACTCGATCGTGAATCGACTTTCGACCATAAAAATTGTCGAGGTGACATTTTGAGCCAATGTAGGCCGATCCAAGGATAGTTAGGAATCAATTCGCCGCTGTCATATCAGTAGATCGCGGGTGATTTCGCTTAACCACGAGATGAATTGACGAATGACCCCAAACCTATACCAATCGATCGTGCCGTCGGAACTAGCGATCGATCCTCACAATTAAGTGACAACCGAGGTCGTCACGACCTGAGTAAACTTAAACGTGGCATGATTCAGTATCGGACACGGGTCAAATGTACAAATTTCCCTAAAAGCCACCCGTTATTCGAGATACGCTCAAGTTACGTAAATTAAATTTGATCATTAATTAGAAACCAAGTTTGGACATCGGAAATTGTGAAGGTCATGACAGGATAATCGGACGATGTTGTCATTAGCTCGGTTAGCCTCAGATTTGTCCGGATTCTTCAGAAAAAAAGAATTTCGGCGAGAAATGGAAAATGACCGTTTTACCCCTGGGATTTTATTAAGGCCAAGTATAATGGGAGAGGGGCATTTTGGTCATTTCACACCTACTTTAGAAATAAAAAAATTTGGACAATTTTGCCCTTGAAAATTTTGTGAAATTCCAATTTTGCCCCTGGATATTTTTGGCGAGGATTAATCTGGACCGTTGATCTTAGGATAAGATCGAATCGTGGCCGTTGATTTGGAATATAGAGAGAGGGGTATGATGGTCATTTTGCTTGGAGTTTAGACACCAATTATTGCCTCTTTAGTATATATCTCTCATTTTCTCTCTCTCCCCCTCATTCTCTCTCTCACTCACGCCAATCTCTCTCTCACCCCTCCTTCGGCCAGCCGGCCACCCCCCTCGCCGCCGTTTCCTCGCCGAGCCGGAGCCACCGCCGCCGCCGTGGCCGCTCACCATCTCCACCACCACCGCCTCACATCTCTCTCTCTCTCTCTCCTGTTTTTGCCCCACCGAAACACCACCAGCCCCATCTCAGCCCCTGTTCAGCCGCGGAAAACCAGCAGCCAATCGCCGCCGGCGAGTCGCCGATAACCCTCACCGCTTGTTGCCGCTGCCGCTGCTATTCGCTCCCTGTCCAGCCGTTGTTGAGGCCTCAATTTCGCATATGAATCACAAGTAAGTGATATCCTAACCCTCGCTTAGGATAACGAGTATTTTCGGGTTAGTTCGGGGCCGTTTTAGTGTGTTTTAGGGGTTAATCGTGGGACAACGGTTGGACTGATTTGGATGAGTGTTTTGGGAGAAATTGTGATGATTTTTGAGGTGGATTTGAGGTTAGAATTGATTGGTTAGGTAATCGGAAAGATTCCGAGTGATTATTGTGGCTTATTGCGCGAAAAACGGGTCTAAATGCGCCGTTATAGTGATTTTCCATGGTGGCCGAGTTACTGTTCATGCTGTGGCCGAATTAGTGCATTTTGGTGATTAAAATATAGTGCGTGTTGGTTTGGGGGTTGTCGGTAGGAGTACGACACCCGTGAATGGCGGAATTTCGCCTAAAATGCAGAAATTCGGGTTAATTATGCACGTGCGAATTGAATTGGGTTGGCCGGTTTGTGTGGCTATTATGGCATGAAATACACATGAAAATGTTGAATTTATGCCCATGATAGTGGCTGTGATTGTGAGCCCAATGGCGGCCTTGTATGCTTGTTGAATTGTGAATTGATTGATTGAAATGTGGACCGTTATATGCGCGCATGGACTGAATTGAATTGACTGGCAATTGGCCATGATTGGGTATTAATTGAGTATGTGAAATGCATGAGGTTTGATGCGTGCATGGGCCGAATTTGATCGAATGGTATATTGGCATGCTGGCGTGTAAATCGAGCGAGCGAATAAATGATAAATTGTGTGTGATGTTGTATGAGTGGTCACGAAAATCCCTGAGGCGGTACTATTACGCGGGGAATTGAGCCGTCTTGAGGCTGTACTACTACGCGGGACGATGCCCGGTACTACCGGAAGACTGCCAACCTGAGGCGTGTACTTCAACGCGGGTTGTGCAGTAGGTGGTGGATGTTGAGCCTGAGGCGGTACCATTACGCGGGCAAGATACATAGCCTGAGGCGGTACCATTACGCGGGCTAAGGAGTGTTGTGAATATGAGTTGGTCGCAGTGAACTTGAGGCGGTATTATTACGCAGGTCACTGGCGAGTTGAGTGAAAATAGTGTGATGAGGCAGGAACGAGTGTTGGAATGTGGGATTGGAAATGCCATGTGTTCGACTTGTGTATCGGGCATGAAATTAATTTGAAATGTGCTTGTGATTGGAAATTATATAGTTGAGACTAACCTGCAGATTGCGTGGATCAAAAGCCAATGTAAGTACAATTGGATGCATGATGTGTTTATTGGGTGATCTCATGTTTGGTCTTGTCTGGAGGTACGTGTTAGCCTAGGTGGGGTTTAGGGTTTCGCTTGCTGAGAAGTGTTCTCACGGTTTTATTTAAAACCATTTAGCTGATCGAAGTTCCACCGGAGTCGGGAGACAAGGACAATCCGATTGAGAGGAACAGACTGGCATCGACGAGACTGATTCTGAGTGAACCCCCCCTCTAGGGCGAATAGGGGTTAGTTAGAAGTTAGGGGTTGGATAGTCTTTGGAGACGCCCCTTTTGGTGGTAGTATTAGTCTGCCCCTTTTGGCAAAATCTTGACATGAGCTCAAAACCCTCCGAGCCTCATGGAAAATCATGAAAGATCACTT